CCCCCACAGCTGGAGCCACAGCCCCCTTTACTGCAGCTGGAGCAGGAACAGGCTGGCACACAGCAGCACACGGGCTTACAGCAGCAGACGGGCACACAGCAGCTGGAGCCACAGCCCCCGCAGCTGGAGCCACAGCCCCCAGAGCAGCCACAGCCGGTCATGGTTCTGGTGATTGAGGGTGGAGCAGGTAGAGGCACAGGTGGAGAGGGAGGTGGTGAGGTGTGGAGCCTCCTTGGCGGGGGCCTTTATATACAGCGGGGGTCAGGGGTCAGGTGAGATGATGGGCACATTGTCACTTCCTGCTTCCCTTTTGTGCCATATTTAGGAACTCTTTTACCTTGTTTTCCTAGATTTTAGGTCCATGTGCCATTTCCTGCTATCAATTGCTCATCCTGTCATAGGTTCCAGTGCACTTCCATTGCCTGGAGTCTGATTTGATTAAAAAAATATATATATATAGTTTTATTTCAGAGAGGAAGGGAGAAGGAGAGATAGAAACATCAAGATGAGAGAGAATCGTTGATCTGCCTCCTGCATGGTCCACACTGGGGATGGAGCCAGAAACTAGGGCACGTGCTGCACTGAGAATCAAACCATTGACCTCCTGGTTCATAGGTCAATGCTTAACCACCGAGCCACCCTAGCCAGGGCTCCATTCTAATCATGCATCTGTAGCTGCCCCTTGGCTTCCTGTGGACACTCATGTGTTTTTTTGTGAATTATTGGTTACTCCCCTTTTCCATCTCTACAGCTTCTATTTCTCTGTGGGCCTTACTGTGCTGTGAGAGCCTTGCCTCATTCCCGATGTTAAAGGTGACACTTCTCACCTGTTGCCATTCGGGGAAAGCTTTTTGTGAACATTTAGTAGAAAATGTTGTCAGATGAAGGGAGGCCCCTTTGTTCCCAGTTTGGCAGCACTCTTGCCTCTGTCCTCAGCGGGTGCTGCCCTTCACTGAGTGCCTGTCTGTAGCCGCTGAAACGGTCAGATAGGCCCCTCCTGTGGTTACGATGGCGAATTTCATGATGGATGTAAACATGCAGTACCTCCTGTCCCTGGGCATCATCCCAGGGGCTGGCACACGGTTTTGGCAGAGCTTCCGCTCCTCCCAACGGCCCCCTCCTGTGGCACCTGTGCGCTGGGTGTGGCCGGCACGTCCTGCGTGTGGAAACGTTTGCCCAACGAGGAGCTATTTGTTCCTCGACCCCTGGGTAGAACCTGCCTGTGACGTGATCAGGGAGCACGGGAACGGCGGAGGTTTGCTCACGGGACACAGAGAGCAGACTTGTCCCTCGTCAATTTCCCGTTTCTTCCTCAGGCGAGATGACGGATCATCCAGGTTTTCCGGTGGGTGGTCGATGCTTTCCCACGGCTCTTGTTTGAGTTCCTGCCAGAGGGGGGCGTCTGTGCCTCCTCCTCTCCTTCCTCCTTCCCTTTCTGGCCTCTGATCAGTTTCGCTCAATGGTGTCACTTTCCTTAGCTTTTCGAAGACCAGCTTTTAATGGTATTGACCCCCCTTTATGGTTTGTTTCAAAATTTGTTTATTTATATTTCCTCCTACTCTATTATTTTTCTCTGTTCTTGTTTTTCTACTCTCTTAATGTGAATACCTTACTCATTCATCTTCAATCTTTCTTTTTCTGGCTCAAGCATTTAGGGCTAAGCATTACTTTATTTTATTTTTATTTTTTTAATTATATTTTTATTGTTTTTAGAGAGGAAGAGACAGAAACATCAATGATGAGCGAGAATCATTGATCAACTGCCTCCTGCACGCCCCCTTCTGAGGATCAAGCTCACAACCCAGGCATGTGCCCTTGACCAGAATCAAACCTGAAATCCTTCAATCTGTAGGCCAATGCTCTATTCACTGAGCCAAACCATTATTTTAAAGCGAGGTTTAGTTAGGTAGCCCAAGTCTGGGTACCTAGTATCTTCATGATCAGTCAGTCCTAACTATTGTCTCTTTTATTTTAAATCCTCCCTAGAGGATGATTTTTAGAGAGAGGAAGGGAGAGAGAGAGAGAGATTGACCAGTTGCCTCATATACCCAATGGGAGATTGAACCCGAAACCTGGGCACATGCCCTTACCAGAAATTGAACCCACAGCCTTTTGGTTCATGGATGCCGCTTCAACCAACAGAGCCACACCAGCAATTGCTGTCATAGGGTTTAAATATATATATATATTTGTATTGATTTCAGAGAGGGAGAGAAAGAGAAACATCAATGATGAGAGAGAATCATTCCTCAGTTGCCTCTTTCAGGCCTCACACTGGGAAGGAGCCCCCAACTAGAAATCAAACTGTGACCTCCTGGTTCATAAGTTGATGCTCACTCACTGAACCACGCATCTTTTTGCTCTGACTGATTTATAAGTTATCTACTGTCCCTGTTTCAGTGACAACTCTATCGTTTCATACTTAAATTTTATTTATTTGTTTATTTTTCCCATCTTAGACAAGACTCTCTAAATATAATGACATCTTGTCGAAACCAGTTTGGCTCAGTGGATAGAGCATCAGCCTGTGGACTGAAAGGTCCCAGGTTCAATTCCAGTCAAGGGCATGTACCTTGGTTGTGGGCACATCCCTGGTAGGGGGTGTGCAGGAGGCAGCTGATCGATGTTTCTCTCTCATCGACGTTTCTAGCTCTCTGTCCCTCTTCCTTCCTCTCTGTGAAAAATCAATAAAATATATTTAGGAAAAAACAGGTAATTAACTTAAAAAAATAAATGTAATGATGCCTTTTCCTGCCCCACCCCCAGCAGTGCCAGGAACTGGGCGGACACCTGCTCACCCCTTCATCATGATTGGATGCCAGGGCTCACTGTGCCACGTCGCATGCTCAGAGTTTGGCTGGTCTGCTGGCTGGGGTGAGTGGGCTGCATTTAGGTCTGTTTTAGGGCATGTCTCAGTGGTGCCAACTCTGCTGGGGGGACTTCCCCAAGGCACCCGCTCCACCCTACCTCCCTGGATCCTCCCCCTTTCCCCTTCTTCAAATGTTTTCCCAGAAACTCTCTGGGACTGCCCTGGGACTGTCTGGGGCTGCCCTGTCCGCAGCAGGTCAGGTCAGTTCTCTCCTGCAGAGGCCGTGCCCCAAGGATGGTGGCACATGGAAATCCATACGTTGGGGCTCGCCTGGTCTTAGCATCAAAGTCAGCCAGGAGGTCTGGTTCTACCAGCTGCTTTGCCTGCCTCTGTGTGTGCACATGCTCATACAGAAAACTCATGCTTCCGCTAATACCACTTTCCTGAACCCCAAAAGCCATGATCTTAAATAAGATTTTCTTTCAAGACCAGCGATAAATACTACCATGCTCCCCGGCTAGACGGGACCTCTGCAGGACTTACACCCTCTCCTAGATGTTGCTGAAAACATCTGACATTGTGTACAGTATCTAGATTATCCTCCCCTCCTTTGTCTCAGGAACCCCTTCCTCAGCCTTGCACCTGTCCCTCCATCCTGTTCCCAGCTGAGCTCATCAGGTGAGCAGCTCAGCGTGGTTCTGGCTTTGGCACACTTTCCTCTCTTATTCAGGTCCATTTGGCTACAGAACCTCCTCAGTAACGCTGGGCCCCTCCTCCCCGGAAACGGTGCAGTTTCCAGAGCCCAGCTTAGGAGACCCGGTCCCAGGACAGTCTCACTGCGGGCGGATCCCCATGGCAGTCCCCTGAGCTTCCCAGATGTACAGTGGTCTTGCTTTCCCAGAAGAAACTGGTCCAGGGCTCTATGAGGCGACCCTTTGCTTTCAATCTAAACTCTAAGTGTGTGTTTGATGGAAGGTGGACTGAGGCTCCGAGGACTGGGATCCCTCGACCTTGGGAACCTCCAGGACCAGCCTTTCTGTCCCAAGACTTGGGAGGAGGGAAGAGGGAGGGACTTGGGAGGAGGGAGGAGGGAGGAACTTGAGAGGAGGGAGGTGGGACGGAGGAGTTGTCCCTCATTGACTGGCGCTCCCACCAATCCCAGGTGGTTGTGGGTACCAGACCAGTTTGCCTGGCAGTGTCCCCCAGTGCCCACTGCTCTGGTGGAGCACTCTTGTCCTGGGAGGTCAATGACCTTGGGCAGCTGCTGGGGAGATAGGAGCCAGTGGGTGGTTCTTTTTTAAAATGTGTATGTTTTTATTGATTTCAGAGAGGAAGCGAGAGGGAGAGAGGGATAAAAATATGATGAGAGCCCTGCCGGTGTGGGCCCTCTCTCTTCATTGATGTTTCTCTCTTTCCCTCCCCCTTCCTCTCTGAAATCAATTTAGAAAGGCACATCAATGATTGAGAAACATCCTCCAGCTGCCTCCTCCACACTCCCTACTTGGGATCAAGCCCAAAACCTGCGCATGTGCCCTGACCAGGAATTGAACTCTGACCTGGTTCACAGGTTGATGCTCAACTATTGAGGCTCACAACCTGACAACCGTGCCAGGCACGCCACATGGATCCCCAGCAGAGGGGACAGACCCCGAGTCACATCTACGAGGAGGTAAGCAATGCATTACCCCCAAAAAAGGATGGCACCAAGTATACAATTGGCTACAGGAACACAGAAGTTTTATTAAAAGAAATTCAGTTATTTTTTATAGAAAGAGTGGAAGCAAAGGAGGAAGGAAAGCCTCATAGGGGGTGGGGGACGGGGAAGGGAGGCGTGGCCAGGACAGGCCAGGGCCCTGGTGGCTGAGGAGCCAGGTGCCAGCAGCCCTCGGCCATCACTCAGACACACCCTGACTGTGCAGGGTTGTCCAAGCATCTCAGCCACCGGGAGGGGCAGGGAATGGCCACGCACCAGCCAGGGCGCAGTCTCAGTTGTCAGCTGGCACCTGCCTCCAGGCACCTCCAGTGACCAGGACTCACTGCCCTTGAGGGAGGAGGATGGAGAAGGCCCGGAGCGCTGAGCACAGAGGGGGCCTGAGCATGAATGAGGGGAAGGAGGAGGTTGAGGTGCAGCAGGGAGGACCTGATTCAGGGGATTCCCAAACACTGAGACCAAAGGTCTGGATTCAAAGCCTCAGATCTTGCATTGGCAGCAAATGGGGGCACAGCAGGTTTTACAGCAGCTGGACTGGCAGCAGCAGGGTTTGCAGCAGCAGACAGGCTCACAGCAGGGTTTGCAGCAGCTGGTCTGGCAGCAGCAGGGTTTGCAGCAGCAGACGGGCACACAGCAGCTGGAGCCACAGCCTCCCTTGCAGCCCCCACAGCTGGAGCCACAGCCCCCTTTACTGCAACTGGAGCAGGAACAGGCTGGCACACAGCGGCACACGGGCTTACAGCAGCAGACAGGCACACAGCAGCTGGAGCCACAGCCCCCCTTGCAGCCTCCACAGCTGGAGCCACAGCCCCCCTTGCAGCCCCCACAGCTGGAGCCACAGCCCCCCTTGCAGCCCCCACAGCTGGAGCCACAGCCCCCCTTGCAGCCCCCACAGCTGGAGCCACAGCCCCCCTTGCAGCCTCCACAGCTGGAGCCACAGCCCCCTTTACTGCAGCTGGAGCAGGAACAGGCTGGCACACAGCGGCACACGGGCTTACAGCAGCAGACAGGCACACAGCAGCTGGAGCCACAGCCCCCAGAGCAGCCACAGCCGGTCATGGTTCTGGTGGTTGAGGGTGGAGCAGGTAGAGGAGCAGATGGAGAAGGAGGTGGTGAGGTGTGGAGCCTCCTGGGCCGAGGGCCTTTATATACCACTGGGGGCAGGGGCAGGGGGCAGGGGAGATGCTGGGCTCTGTCACTTCCTTGTTTTCAATTCCTGGTCAGGGCATGTGCCAGGACTATTGCCTCAGGGTGGCTTGTGTTGATTGTCCTGTCCCCGGGCACCAACCGTTTTCGGAGGTTTCTAAATTTGGCCTCTTCCTCATCCACACGGACCTCAGGCTTCTTCCCTCAGAGTCCTGACAGGGGGTCACCTGCTTTCTGTGCCGACAGCATGGCATGTGGGTGACAGCATCGTGTTGGCTTTTTGTGCCGTTTCTCCAGAGCCTGTTGTGTGAGTGTGAGTTTGTTTGTGTGTCTGTGTGTGTATGTCTGGTCCTCTTTTTCATGTTTCTAAATTTAACCTCTTCCTGTTTTGTTTATTCTTTATTCATGGAAAGTAACTTCCAGGATTGCTAGTGTTTGTGGAATACTCTAGGAACAGGCTACATCCATTCTGCTCTGTGTGCTGGGCTCCAGGAGAAGCCCAGACCCTCTCTCACCTGCTCTTTGTCAAGGACCAGTTGACCATATTTGTGCAGAGATGCCTCTGTGCTCTCTGCTCAGCTCCATTGATCCGTGTGTGTGTGCCCGTTACCGACCTCTTTTGATTCCTGTGGCTGAATAGTCAGCCTTGAGGTCTGGAAGTGTCAGTCCTCCAGCTTTGTTCTCCTTCAACACAGTGTGGGTTTTTTGGGATCTTTCGCCCCCGTGTGAATTCTAGAGAAAGTTTGTCAACATCCGCAGAATAACCCACTGGGATCTGGCTAGGATCGCGTCGACTGTATAGGTCACTTTGGGAAAAACTGATATCTTGACAATTTGTGTCTTCTGATTCATGAACATGGATTATCTTTCCATTAATTTATTTCTTTTTTTATTTTTTTTTCAATCTGAGTTTTGTAGCTACCTCATATTGATCTTGGACATTTTATTTTTTATTAATCCTTATCCGAGGAAATTTTTCCATTGATTTTTGGAGAGTGGAAGAGAGAGGGAAAGACAGAGAGAAACATTGATGTGAGAGAAACACATTAATTGGCTGACTCCTGCATGTGCCAGGACCAGAACCCTGGCTAGGGAGGAGCCTGCAACTGAGGTACGTGCCCTTGACTAGAATTGAACCCAGGGCACTTTGGTCCACAGGCGGATGCTCTATCCACTGAGCCAAACTGACTAGGGCTGATCTCAGGCATTTTAAATTAAGTGTATACCTATGCTTTCACTTTTTGGGGTGCTAGTGTAAATGATATTGTGTTTTTAATGTGTAATTCTATTTGTGCATTGCAGGAATATAGGAAAGTGATTGACTTTTGTATATAAACCTGTATCCCTTCGTCTTTCTATGATCACTTGTAAGTCCTAGGATTTTTTTCTTGCAGAATGTTTTGAATTTCCTATATAGACAATCATGTGATTTAAGAACAAAGACAGTTTCATTTCTTCCCCTCCAATCCGTATTCCTTCCACCTTCTTTTCTTGTCTTATCGCCCTGGCAAGGCCTTCCAACACATGTTGGGAAGGAGTGGTGAGAGCAGACATCCCTGCTCTGAACCTGACCTTTGCAGGAAATCTTGTTTCCTACGATGTGTGACATTACCTGTGGGCTTTTGTCCATGCTCTCTACCAAGTCAAGCAAGTCCCCTCTGTTCCTAGCTTACTGCACATTTCTATCACGAAGGCGTTTGAGTTTTGCCAAATGCTGGGTCTGTTGACACGGTCTTAAAATTTTCCATTTTGGTCTGTCATAGTGATGAATTACGTTCTTTCATTTTTGAATATTGAGCCAGCCTTGCAGATTTGGGATAAAATGCACCTGGTCCCGGCATATATTTTTATTAATGCTCGTGTGGATTTGATTTACTAATGTTTTTTGCTCTTTTTTTTTTTATTAAAAATTTACATCTCTGTTCATGAGTGACACTGGTCTGTGCTTTTCTTTTTCTGTGATGTGTTTGCTTGGTCTTGGTATCAGGGTGGTGCTGGCCTCACGGGGTGAGTCAGGAAGTGCCCCCTTGGCTTCTACCTTCTGAAACAGCACGGAGAGAGCTGGTGAACTTCTTCCTTAAACATTTGGTCGGGTTCACCAGAGCCCATCGGGGTCTGGTGCTTTCTGTCCTGGAAGGTTATTAATGATTGATTCACTCGTTAACAGCGGTAGGCCTACCCAGTGGTTGACTATCAGTCATTATTCTAATTGAACCACCCCAGCAATACATCCACTAGTGCATCTGCAGCCGTTCAGAGTTCCTACATGTCATGTGGGCCTGTGTGATGACCTCTTTTCTAATCCTCAAAACTTTAATTTTTAAATTATTTTATTGCATTGGCTCCTTCAGGACAATGAGAAGTAGCAACGAGAGTGAACATTTTTGTTGTTCACAACTCGGGAGCAAGTATTAAAATACTGCACCACTAAGAACGGTGTTTGGTGGTTTTTTGATGTTTTTTAGTGCTGTCTCATTCAGCAAGTGTTCACTGACTTCCATATTGCAGGGTCTTTCTTTGTAAAATTGTGAATGAATGTTGAATATTTTAAGTGCCTTTTCTTTTCATTTAAATCATCATAGAACATTTCCTTATTATGGTGAATTCCGTGGTTGATTTCAAGTGCTCTCAAACCTTGTAGTTCTCCATTTTTGATGGGTTGAGTGCCTATATTTACTTTGCTAATGTGATTAAAAAAAAATTTTTTTTTTGATTTTTTACAGAAAGAAAGGGAGAGGGATAGAGAGTTAGAAACATTGATGAGAGAGAAACATCCATCAGCTGCCTCCTGCACACCCCTACCGAGGATGTGCCTGCAACCAAGGTACATGCTCTTGACCGGAATCAAACCTGGGGCCCTTGAGTCCACAGGCCAACACTCTATCCACTCAGTCAAACTGGTTAGGGCTTTGCTAATGTGATTTTTAAGCACCTCTTGCGACATGATCTATACAGCATAAAGCTCATACACTTAAATGGCATAACTCAATGATTTCAGTATATTTATAAATATCATCACAGTTTATTTATAGAACATTGCATTATACCCAAAAGAAAACTTATAAGCATTAGCAAGCACTCATTCATCTCCACGTTCTTCCTGCCCAATTACAGGGAGCTGCAGAGACAACATGGGGATGGCCAGGAGATGGGGATTTCCTTGTAAGGCAGTAGGTCCTGTTTCTAGGGCTCCTGAACTGGCTGAAGCTGAGTGGGGGACTTGGTGTGGCTGACTGGGGTTTAGGTTTGTGACGTGGGCTGGGCCACAGGGGCCGCCTCCGTTTCATGGGTCCCCTTATGGGAATGGACATTATCAATAGCCACCCGAGAGGTCTGACATGGCACCTCATGGCTTCGACGTGCATTTCCTCAGAGACTGATGTGACGGATGCCTTTCCCTGTGCTTGTTAGCCATTTCAGGACTTCTGTGGAGACATGTCTATTCAACTCTCTCCCCGTTTGTAAACTGGGTCATTTCTCTTTTTTCTATGAGCTGCAGGCATCTCTTATATGTCCCAGACTCACAGCCATGTCAGATGCATGATGTGCACATGCTTTCCCTCCGCCCGTGTTGTCTTCTCACGTTTCGCTCTCATAGCGGCGTTGTAGGACACACAAACATTGTTGATTTTGGCAAAGTCCAACTTGTCTATTTCTCCTTTGCTGCTGGTGCTTTTGGAGCCAAGTCTAAGAATTCCTTGCCAAACCCAAGGCCATGAAGATTTACACTATTTTGTGTTTTTTTGTTTTGTATTTTTACAAGAGTTTATTTGAGCCAAATTGATGGCAATTGCCTGGGAGCAAGATCTCAAATGCTCCCTACACTACACTTCTTTTTTTTTTTTTAATTATTTTTATATATTATTATTATTATTATTATTATTATTATTATTTTAGGAATACACTACGCTTTCTTCCAGTTTCATTGCTCAAACTCTCTGAGTTCTGTCTTTGTTCTATTTGGAGTCAGTTTTGCTGTGAAGTCGGGTTCACCTTCATTTCTTGGCACCGGGATATCCAGTGCCATTTGTTTAAAAGACTCTTCTTCCCTTTTCGGTGGAGCTGGGATGTGGTCAGAAATCAGTCACAGATGCTCAATGTCACTAGTGGTCAGGGAAAGGCAAATCAAAGCCACACAGAGGCATCCCTCAGGCCGTGAGAGTGGCCGTCGCCGAAGGACAGGCCAGGGATGGCGAGGACCTGGCGCACGGGAGCCCCGTGGTGGGACTGGAACAGCGTGGCCAACCACTGCTGGGACAGCACAGAGAGCCCTGAGGAAACCCAGGGTGGAGCCGCCATAGAACCAGCAGCCCCACTTCTGGGGTCACTTCTGTTGCGCTGAAAACTGGACTCCTCGATATCATAATGTGTGACTGTCAACCGCTCCTCTCCCGCCCCAGGGCTGCTCCTCTGCTTGGTGAGTGGTAGGTGTTTGCTCACTTGGTGGTTTCTAGACCGTTTTTGGAAAGACTAGCCTTTGTCCTGTGTGGTTTCAGATCTGTGTTTCTGGCGCTTAGTAGTCAGCCAGGGGCTTGAGGACACTTTTCTTAAATGCTTAGAACAAGGACAAAAAGACAGATCGGGGTTTGCAGGCAGCTCTGTGGGATCCTCCCTGGATACTTAGCTCTGCCCACACTCACTGCCTGCCTGTCCCGGGCACGCTGCCAGCTGGATGGAGGAGAAGCCTGAGTCTTCCCGGGTCTTTCTGAGCGCCCTTGGCTGGGAACGTGTGGCCTTCGAATTCCCTGGTGTTCGTGGTAGTTTCAAAGCCCTAGTTTCTGCAGGGCCTCCCCTCAGCCTTCCTCCCAGGTTTCGGCATGTCTGCTGTTTGTCGCATCTAGGTCACCTGCCTCCCCAGGTGTTCGAGGAGGGCTCCTGCACAGCCAGGTGGCAGCAGGGAGGGGTCTGCACTAGGCAAAACTTATGCCAGCTCCGAGGGTCAGCACCGACACATAGCTCTCCTCGGGCGACGTCTGCTCTGCCCTCTGGTGCTGGACCCTTCGCTGGGCACAAGGCTGCCACCTTCACCTCTTACTGAGCTGGCATTGACGTGAGTGTGGGTGTGTTAGAATGCTTTCTCCCCACCCCACCCCCCGAAAGAGAGAGCTACTGTGGGAGCTGGCATTCTTTCCTGGTGAAGCATTCACTCGGTGTGGTAGCTTTGAGACTTTTTTTTTTTTTTAATGAAGCACTTTTATTTTATTTCACATATTTTTATTGATTTCAGAAAGGAAGGGAGAGGGAGAGAGAGAGAGAGAAACATCAATGATGAGAATGATTGGCTGCCTCCTGCACACCCCTACTGGGGATTGAGCCCACAACCTGGGCAGGTGCCCTGACTGGGAATCGAACCATGACCTTTTGGTTCATAGGTCGATGCTCAACCCCTGAGCCACATCAACCGAAGTAAAAAGTGTCCACTCCCTGCATGCCCCACCCCTGGCAGCACGCAGAGGGCTCTGGTTTCCCCCGAGAATGGCAGAGAGGAAAGAACCTCGGAAAGACCAGCTGGTCACAGGAGAATTTGCTCATTTAGAGGCTTCCCCATGTCCAGGGAGGAATTGATTAGATCAAGAATCAGGCAAGCTGGTGTCGGGGAATGCCAGGGACAGGACGTGGTGTTCAGTGGGTCAGGGCCCAGGCTCTGGGATCCGCACCAGCCCTGGAGTTCCCTGGGCACAAGGACTGAGCAGGGAGAGGCCGGAATGGGGAGAGCCGGGAGGCTCTGTGCCCCATGCAGTGCCTGAGGGCTGCTTCTCGGGGCTCAGTTTCTGAAGGGCCTGCAGATGGCAAAGTCTGGCCAGCAAGGACGAGGAGGTTCCTGACCTGAGTGCTGTCCTGCCCGTGGATGTGTCTTCACTCATGGCCAAAACTACCAGGCTGCGTATCTGAGCCTCAGATCTTGCACTGACAGCAAACGGGGGCACAGCATGGTTTGCAGCAGCAGACAGGCTCACAGCAGGGTTTGCAGCAGCAGACAGGCTCACAGCAGGGTTTGCAGCAGCTGGTCTGGCAGCAGCAGGGTTTGCAGCAGCTGGACTGGCAGCAGCAGGGTTTGCAGCAGCAGACAGGCTCACAGCAGGGTTTGCAGCAGCTGGTCTGGCAGCAGCAGGGTTTGCAGCAGCTGGTCTGGCAGCAGCAGGGTTTGCAGCAGCTGGTCTGGCAGCAGCAGGGTTTGCAGCAGCAGACGGGCACACAGCAGCTGGAGCCACAGGTCCCCTTGCAGCCCCCACAGCTGGAGTCACAGCCTCCCTTGCAGCCCCCACAGCTGGAGCCACAGCCCCCTTTACTGCAGCTGGAGCAGGAACAGGCTGGTACACAGCGGCACACAGGCTTACAGCAGCAGACGGGCACACAGCAGCTGGAGCCACAGCCCCCGCAGCTGGAGCCACAGCCCCCGCAGCTGGAGCCACAGCCCCCAGAGCAGCCACAGCCGGTCATGGTTCTGGTGGTTGAGGGTTGAGCAGGTAGAGGCACAGGTGGAGAGGGAGGTGGTGAGGTGTGGAGACTCCTGGGCCGGGGGGCCTTTATATACAGCGGGTGTCAGGGGTCAGGTGAGATGCTGGGCACAGTCACTTCCTGGTTCCTGTTTGTGCCACTCCTGCGCTGTGCTTTTTCCTCTGTGTCCCTGTCCTCTGGCTGGCTCAGGCTGCATCCACGTTCTTTGGTCTCTAGTTTGATGTCTTCCCCTGTGTGTCTCCACTATTAGAGACTCAGCTCCTGCTTGCTTAATGCTTCCCAGCGCCCATGGGAGCTGCTCATCTGCCTTTTCTTCTCCTCGTGTGAGACCTGCCACAGGGAGGCCCAGACTGAGGACAAGTCCCGGGAGCATCGGGACGTGTACAGGGAGGGAGGGGCACGAGGTACACGAGCCTCATTTGGTCTCAGGGCCCAGGCTCCAATTTCTTGGGTTTATTTAGGAAACTGTTAGCTTTTAATTCATTTTCATACTGGTTTTATTTTTTTTTACTATTTTTAATTAATTTAATTAATATATATATACTTTTATGAATTTCAGAGAAGAAAGGAGAGGGAAAGAGAGCGAAAAACATCCATGATGAGGGAGAATCTTGGATCGGCTGCCTCCTGCACACCCCACACTGGGGATGGAGCCCGCACCCGGGCCTGTGCCCTGACCGGGAATCGAATTTTGACCTCCTCGCTCATAGGTCGATGCTCGACCACTGAGCCTTGTTGGCAGGGTTTACAATTATTTAACTTTCTCGCCGAAATGGTTTGGCTCAGTGGATGGAGCGGTGGCCTGCGGACTGAAAGGTCCCAGGTTTGATTCCGGTCAAGGGCATGTACCTTGGTTGTGGGCACATACCCAGTAGGAGGTGTGCAGGAGGCAGCTGATTGATGTTTCTAATCTATCCTCTCCCTTCCTCTCTGTAAAAAAAAATCAATAAAATATATTTTAAAAAATTAATTTAACTTTCTAATCACAGTGCAGCACTTTTTTTTTTAAGAGTTTGGTTTTTTAATTTTTTATTCATGTTTTAAAAATTGATTGACTTTATTGGGGTGACATTGGTTAATAAGATTATTCAGGTTTCCAGTGCACAATTCTGTATGCAGACTCTCTATATTGTGTGTTCATATCCACAGTCCAATCTCTTCTGTCATCATTTATCCCCTCCACCCTCCTCACCTCCCACCATCCTTTCCCTCTGGCAGTCACCATCCTGTTGTCTCTGAGTTCTGTTTGTTTGTTTGCTTTTGCTTAATGACTTCACCTCCCCCCCCCCCCCCCCCCGCCTCCAACAACTGTCAGTCTGTTCTCTGTGTCTATGAGTCTAGTTTGCTGGTTAGTTTATTTTGTTCTTTAGATTCCACACTTAAGTGAAATCATATGGCACTTGTCTTTTTCTGACTGGTTTATTTCACTTAACATAATACTCTCTGGGTCCCTCCATGATGTGGCCAAGGTAAGATTTCCATATTTTATAGTTGCTGAGTCGTATTCCATTGTGTAGATAAGCCACAGCTATTTTATCCACTCGTGGATGGATGGCGCTTGGGCTGCTTCCAAGTCTCAGCTGTTTGTAAATACCGCTGCAGTGAGCAGAGGGGTGCACTTGTTCTTCTGAATCGATGTTTTGGGGTTCTTTGGATTTATCCCTGGACATGCATTCATGGGTCCCAAGGCAGTGCCATTGTTGTTTTTTGAGGGAACTCCATACTGTTTTCCTTAATGGCTGTGCCAGTCTGCATTCCCACCAGCAGTGTGCTAGTGTTCCCTTTTCTCCACATCCTCGCCAGCACCTGTAGTTTGTGGATTTGCTGATGGTAGCCATTCTGACTGGAGTGAGGTGATACCTCATTGTGGCTTTAATTACATCTCTCTGATGACTAGTGAAGTTTAGCATCTTTTCCGATGTCAATTGGCCATCTGTATGTCCCCTTGAGAGACGTGTCTATTCAGGTACTCTGCCCATTTTTTAATTGGATTGTGTTTTGTGTGTGTGCTTGTTTTTGTTTATTTGTTTATTATGGGGGCTGTTTCTCTGTTTTCCTCCACCCATGCGGAAAATGACAGGTTCCTGAGTGGAGGAGCTGGGGATTAAGAAATTAAAGGAAAAAAGAGACCAAGACACAGAAATAGATTCATGCTGGGACCCGGGTGGGGGCTGTCACTCTGATGGAGGGACAGTCAACACCCACCACAGACAACACATCGCATTTATTTATTTCCAAAAGAATAAAGGGAGGTTTCCCTGAAAAGCTTAGAATCAAAGGAGTTTTGGGTGCGCCCAGGTTCTATTGATCCCCTCATTCCAGGGATTTAGCATATCAAGACCTGGGTAAGTAAAGGTCCTACTTGTTCCTCATTCCAAGAACATGGATAAAGATAAGAAATTGGTACTGAGGTCCGTCTCCCACATTTTGGGGAAACGTGTTCCCAGGGGGTGGTTCTGCCTATGCCTTAAGTTCAGCTGATGATAATTAAAGGTCATCCATGTGCATTCCCAGGGGGCCCTCTACAGTTTGTTTTTTGGTGTGGAGTTCTTTGAGTTCTTTATATATTTTGGAAGGTAATTCCTTATCGGATGTATTCTAGATGAATTATGTTCTCCCAGTCAATAAGCCAATCAGTAAGGTCCTTTTTCATTTTGTTGATGGTTTCCTTTGCTGTGCAAAGACATACTAATTTGATGCTTTCAAGCTGTTGAAAATTCTCGTTAGCAGGAGTGGTGCTCTGGCCTGGCCCATGCTCTCTCCCCCATGCTAAGCATGTTGGGGTCTTACAACCTTGCACCCCAGATGCTCGCCTCTTGTTGCCACCATGCTTCTCCTCTGGGGAGTCTTACTGGCACCTCAGAATGCCTACCCCCACCAAGATGCTCCCCAGATGCACCCACACTTCCCCTAAAAGGCAACCTCATCCTCGAGCTGTCAGGGGCTCAGACCTTGAAGCCGCCCCAGGTCATGTCTTTCTCATGGGACGACTCTCCATCATCTTTCTGGTTGTGACTCCTTTGCTTCCCTCTTCCCTGTTTCAGGACTCCCTCCTAAGTCAGCCGGTCAGCAGCCTTAAGTTCACCGGCCACCTGAATTCCCTTGGCCAGGTAACCAGGAGGAGTCACAGGTTGTGGGGCTCAGGCAGGTTGTTTTGGGGAGCATTATTCTGCCACCTCACTGTGCTCACCACAGTGGGTTTGATATGGAGATGGGGGGTTCAGGGTCACTGACAGAACAGAGAAGCCAACCCCCAGGGATGGCTCTCTGGGCCCTGTGCCTGGGCAGGTCTGATGCCATGGCTGGACCATGGAATGTGCCTGATGTCACCTGGAAGGTCCAGGACGCCCCCGTGCTTCTGCCCATTCTGTTTTCCTAATGTCATGAGAGCAGAATGACTGAGCCTTATTGCATCTGGACCCATAGCTGCAAGGGAGTCGGGGCAGTGCTTTCCCACCTCTGTGACAGGAGAGGGAAAGAGGGTAGGAAGGTGCTGGTCCCAGCACACTATCCTACTGCCCCAAAGGGAAGGGCCCACTGCTGGACAGTACCAGACAAAGGACACAAGCCCTACCCCAGACACTGCCCAGGGCTCCCTACCTCTTTTGCCATGTCTCAGACCATTCTCTTGCCAACATCAGTGGAGGACATGCATGGCTGGAGGCAGTGGGGGCACTAGAGGAGTGCCAGCTGGCTGGCCTGGGCCCAGTGGGGTTCCTCACCATGAGCCTGGGAGGCAGACTGCCGTGCAGAGTCACACTGCCATGAAAGTGTTCGCAGTGACAGACATGGTTTGTGGGCAGGACATTGTAGTTTAACAGACAAATATGGAAACTGTTGAAGATAAAGGATCCCCAGGGACTGACTTTTTGGGGAGAAGGAAGTGGCTGGGATGTGAGGGGGCAGTGCTTTTCTCACTGAGGAGCCAGGGGTGCTGTCCCTGCCAGTCACGGGCAGCTACTTAGTATAGGGTTGGTGCCTACAAGTGGTAGATAATGGTTTCTTAGAAGAATCAGGAATAACAGTGGTGGCTACTTGATTTATTTTTATTTTATTTTTATTTACTGATTTCTGAGAAAGGAAGGAGAGACGAGAGAGAGAGAGAGAGAGAGAGAGAGAGAGAGAGAGAGAGAGAGAGAGAGAGAGAGAGAGAGGAGAGAGAGAAAGAAAGAAAGAAAGAAAGAAAGAAAGAAAGAAAGAAAAAACATCATTTATTGTTCCACTTATTTATGCCTTCATTGGCTGGTTCTTGTCTGTGCCCAGACAGGGGATTGAACCTGCAACCTGGGCTTCGTGGGAAGATGCTCTAACCACTGAGAAGCTCAGCCAGGGCCTGGCCACTTGGTTTGAGAGGAGCTGGTGAGCATTGGAATATGCTCTTCCTATGAGTCAGGATATCTCAGAGGACACGGCCCCTCTCGTGAGGGATGAGAAGGGGAATAGGTTGGCAGAAGCTGGGAATGTGCAGAGGAGGTGAGGAAACCAGAAGCTTCACTGGATGGAACAGTTGGAAGAAGTTAGTACAATACATCAGATCTTGCACTGGCAGCAGACGGGGGCACAGCAGGGTTTGCAACAGCTGGACTGGCAGCAGCTGGACTGGCAGCAGCAGGGTTTGCAGCAACAGATAGGCACACAGCAGCTGGAGCCACAGCCCCCCTTGCAGCCCCCACAGCTGGAGCCACAGCCCCCCTTGCAGCCCCCACAGCTGGAGCCACAGCCCCCTTTACTGCAGCTGGAGCAGGAACAGGCTGGCACACAGCAGCACACGGGCTTACAGCAGCACACGGGCACACAGCAGCCGGAGCCACAGCCCCCCTTGCAGCCTCCACAGCTGGAGCCACAGCCCCCCTTGCAGCCTCCACAGCTGGAGCCACAGCCCCCCTTGCAGCCTCCACAGCTGGAGCCACAGCCTCCTTTACTGCAGCTGGAGCAGGAACAGGCTGGCACACAGCAGCACACGGGCTTACAGCAGCAGACAGGCACACAGCAGCTGGAGCCACAGCCCCTGCAGCTGGAGCCACAGCCTCCGGAGCAGCCACAGCCGGTCATGGTTCTGGTGGTTGAGGGTTGAGCAGGTAGAGGCACAGGTGGAGAGGGAGGTGGTGAGGTGTGGAGCCTCCTGGGCCGGGGGCCTTTATATACCGCCGGGGGCAGGGGGCAGGTGAGATGCTGGGCACTGCCACTTCCTTGTGTCTGGACTGTTTCCTCAGGTCGTGTTTGTGTTTGTTGTCCTTTTCCCTGTGAGTCTCCCCCGCGTTCCCCCCCTTGCTCTTCCTTCCTCTCTGAAATCAATAAAAATTAATTTTTTTGAAAAACTGAGGTGGGGGTTCTGTCCTCATGATTCTACACACAGTTCAGCTGCCCTTTCTGCCAGAACATAACTTTCCTCTCGCTTCCAACAGGAGCCTGCAGCCTGCTGCTGCAAACCCTCAGCCCTGGGGCCCCTTCGCCCACCCCAGCCCCCACCCCAGCTTTCCACGCCTAGAGCTGTGCAGGCTGAGCCTCCCGCCCGCACTCCTACCATACTCACTGGGTGGCTCAGGCCTCTCGGTCACGCCCCTCAGCATCCCCGCACCAGGTGTCCAGCCCACCCCCACCCTGTAGGTTCTTGTATCACAGCACACTGCTTCCCAGTGTCAAAACTGTATAATTTTCTTGCCCCTACTCAACAAATTACCACAAATGTGGCGATAAAAACAACAGAAACAGATCCCCCCAGATCTGGATCCCAGACATGCCCCCGAGTCTTCCTGGCCCAGCCCAGGCCACAGACAGGCAGTGCCATGGCTGCCAGCCCCTGGAGCTGGGAGGGAGGAATCACCCAGGCCCCTCACCTCCGGGGGTTGCAGCTCGAGGCTGTAAGGTTCAAAGCTGACCTCTCTGTCCACCTTCCTGGTGGTGTGGTCTCACCTCTCGGCCTCCCTACCTCAGGGCCCTGTGGCCACATTGGGGCTAAGTCACCAGGCGGCCTCTCTGTCGCACCTTCTGCACCTTCATCAACAGCACATGTTCCCACACAGATGTACGGGACCTGGCCATGTGGTCACGCCAGGTCACATATGTCGGCACAGAAAGCAAGTGGCCCCCTTGCCAGGGACCCTGAGGGAGGAAAGACTGAGCTCAGCCTGCATGAGGAAGAGGCCAGATTTAGAAAAATAAAAAAAAAAAGTCAGTGGACCCAGGAAATGGGAACTCGAGGGAGAAAAGACAACAAACATAAACATGACCTGAGGAAATGGGCCAGACACAAGGAAGTGACAGTGCCCAGCATCTGCCCTGACCCTGCCCCCTGCCCCCTGCCCCTGGCGTATATAAAGGCCCCTGGCCAAGGAGGCTCCATACCTCACCAACTAACTCTCTGCCTGCACCTCTACCTGCTCCACCTTCAACCACCAGAACCATGACTGGCTGTGGCTGCTCCGGGGGCTGTGGCTCCAGCTGCGGGGGCTGTGGCTCCAGCTGCTGTGTGCCCGTCTGCTGCTGTAAGCCCGTGTGCCGCTGTGTGCCAGCCTGTTCCTGCTCCAGCTGCAGTAAAGGGGGCTGTGGCTCCAGCTGTGGAGGCTGCAAGGGGGGCTGTGGCTCCAGCTGTGGAGGCTGTAAGGGGGGCTGTGGCTCCAGCTGTGGGGGCTGCAAGGGGGGCTGTGGCTCCAGCTGCTGTGTGCCCGTCTGCTGCTGCAAACCCTGCTGCTGCCAGTCCAGCTGCTGCAAACCCTGCTGCTGCCAGTCCAGCTGCTGCAAACCCTGCTGTGAGCCTGTCTGCTGCTGCAAACCCTGCTGTGAGCCTGTCTGCTGCTGCAAACCCTGCTGTGAGCCTGTCTGCTGCTGCAAACCCTGC